GATAGAGACTTTGAGACAGAGTCAGCTCCAAAGCTGGGGGTATTTGAAGTGAGTGATCCCTCAGGACTTTGAGATACAGCAACCTTGGAAAGGGATAGTGGAACTCTGGAGAGAGAGCATCTCAGCCAGCTTGGATATCAGTCCCATGGGCAGTCTAAACTACGTTCTCTACCTCAAGCCCAGGGGATTTGGGCATAAAAGGGCATGTGGCTGTTGTGGTGCTTTCTCACTCTGCAAGGTGGGATGAGGGCAGAGTAGGACAGTCACAATTGCAGGTATCCTCAGCTTTGCTCTCCCTTGGCTGGGATTCTCCTACCCCTCTTCATTCCTTTTCAGGATATTGGACCAGTAGCCTGGCCCTTTATTCTTAGTAGACTTCTTGACTTGGGAGCATGATTAGAATCAGAAATGGCAAGCCCCTGGACCAGACCACTTCAGTGACGTGTCTTCTGGGGCCTCAGTCTTCTTTTTTCTTGCCTTGATCCTCTTGTTTCTCCACCACCAGGTCACCCCTCCTAATTTCTCAATGTCACAAGTGCCCAACATGCCCAGCTGTCCCCAGGCCTATTCTGAACTACAGATACTGTCCCCCAGTGAGCGGCAGTGTGTGGAGACAGTGGTCAACATGGGCTACTCGTATGAGTGTGTCTTGAGAGCCATGAAGAAGAAAGGAGAGAACATTGAGCAGGTGAGCAGTTGGTCAGCGGTGGGGAGTAGGTGGTCAGCCAGGAGAGAAGTCTCAGACCTTTGGAGCTGGAGTAGTGTCCTGCCTCTATTCTGGAGCTCCTCAGATTCATAGCACCAACCTCCTTTCCCGTGGGTTTGTGGGGACGCAGATCATTTTTTTTGGGCAGCCAGCAGGTTCAGCAGCAGTACTTCATTGGGACCTAGGCTGAGCCAAAGCCTTGGGAATATTGGAGCTCTTACCCCTTTTCTCTGCTCTTCCAGAGGGTTTGGGTATGGTCAAATATCTCCTTTCAGAAATTTTTATCCTGTCATAGCTGTCCAGGGAGTTCCAAATAGGGTACTTGAGTCCTACACCTTGGAGATATTTTCTGACTTGGGCTATTTCTTAGAGGAATTTCCTGCCCAGGCTTTGGAGTTGACATTCTGGTAGATCTGAGTCAGCGGTGGCAGCAACTCCTTTGGAAAATGACTACTCATGTTTAGAAGGGTGTGCCTGTCTATGTAGCAAATAGTCACTGAGATCTTATTATGTTGGATACAGTTTAAGGCAGAAAATCAAGTCCTATCCAACATCTGATAGCCCAGTGGGGCAGGGAGCAGACTTCACACTAGCCAGTATGTGTAAGACTCTTGGGAAGCACAGAGAAGAGTGGCAGTAGGTGCTAAACCTCTTGTTTCTTTTCTTAGATTCTCGACTATCTTTTTGCACATGGACAGCTTTGTGAGAAGGGCTTCGACCCTCTTTTGGTGGAAGAGGCTCTGGAAATGCACCAATGTTCAGAGGAAAAGGTGGGAACCTTCGTGCTTCATGAAAACCCTCTGGAAAGGAAGGACAAAGTAGTCTGTCCTGGTTTTCTTCCCTGCCCCTCAACCCCCTTTCCATGCCAGTGACTACAGGCAGAAGCAGTCGAAGGGCAGAATCTCTTGTGTCCAGACAGGCTGAGGCCTATGTTTAGGTTGAGTGGAAACTATCTAGAATCCCAGTGAAGGCAAGGGGAAATTGACCTGGGCTAAAAGCCAAACTTTTGGCCAACTGTGGAGATTGCTGGTCTCTTTGCCTAGCCTACTCCCTGGAGAGCAGCCATTTATGGGTTCAGTATCCTGTCATGGTGGGAGTGTGGATGTGGGTGGTGGGACCCAGATAGAGGTCAGCAAGGGTGAGTTGGGACTGGGTGTGACACCTGAAGGATGATGAGCTGTGGCATTAAACCCGTCTGCCTTGGCTTTCTCCACAGCCCCCCTCTGCTTGCTAGCGGGCTCCAGTTGAAGTATGTAGACCTCCCACACCCCCAATACCCTTCCCTATACTCCTTCACTCAGCTGTGCTGTGTAGCTGGACCCTTTTCTTTAATCTGTATTCTCTTCTATCCCTTAGATGATGGAGTTTCTTCAGTTAATGAGCAAATTTAAGGAAATGGGCTTTGAACTGAAAGACATTAAGGAAGTTTTGCTATTACACAACAATGACCAGGACAACGCTTTGGAAGACCTCATGGCTCGGGCAGGAGCCAGCTGAGACCATGCCCTGCCTAGGCCCTGCCAAGGAAACACCACCCCCAGGAGGCCCTGCAGAGCTCACCTGTGGGGAAGGGGAAGGGGAATACTTCTGGATTTTCTTTTGGGGGTTAGAAGGTCAGGTGTGGAGACTGTGCTTGCCAGTCTCTGTGAGCCTAGGCCCTGAGCTGGGGAGAAAGTGGGGGAAGATTTGGGCATGCAGATGCCCCCAGAACACTCCTGGCTGCTTCCATATTAAATGTATTTGTATTTTGAGAAGTGTCCTTCCCACCTCGGCCCTCCAGAGAGAATACCCTGGTCTTTCCGGGGTCTTTAACATCCTCAGCCGAAACCTGGCCAAGAGTTGTCGGGAAGAAGGGGGTGGGAGGATCAGGCTCAGTGCTGCTTTGGGGCTAGATGCTTATCCCCCCACTCGCCACACTAGTGGACTGAACTCTAATCCAAGTTGCGTGCAAGTGAAAGATTCTTCCAGGGCTTTGTTTATTTTTTCCCCCTTTTAACAAAGTCTCTTAGTGTTACACTGGTTCTGCGAAGTCTCTGAGGTGCAAAGAATGCGCTTTTCCCAGTGGGACCCAGAGTTTGCCTTTTCTGCCAGGCATTCACCATGCTTCCCTGCCCCCCGCCTGTTTCTTTTAGCTTGGTTTGGACCACAGTCTTCTACTATCCAGGGTTTTAGAGCCCCTGCTCTAGGAAACAGTTGTCAGTTTAAGAAATCATTGGTCCCTTCCCAGCACATTGAATGGATGAGAAAACAGGCCATGATTTAGATGGCCAGCACTAACTCCACCTCTGTTCTCCTTGAACAGCCTCTCCCTCCAGCCCACTGCTTTAGGATGACACAATGAATAACACCTAGTCATAGAAATCAGTCTCTTTGGTTTGTTTTGTATTAAGTTGTACAACATTAAAGATCTAAATACAAAGGATATACAGTCTTGATGAATCTAAAATAATTTGCTAACTATTTTGATTCTTCAGAGAGAACTACTAATAAAAATCCAAAAGGTATGTCCTGCTGTGCTTTATTGCCAAGGGCCGTTTTACTGAGATGGGTGGGTAGGTGGGTGCTCAAGGGATTTCCTGCTTGGATTTGCTGGGGATGGAACAGGACCTAATCATTTTCTGTGTCAGAACTTTTTTCCCATTCTAGGCCTGTAGGACCCAGGAGCTGGCCCTCTAGCCTGCCCTGGTTTTTGTCTGTTTGAACCTGACCTAGCTGTCTCTGGGCCAAGGACAGATGCTTTCCTGCAAGACTGACTCTGGAGGTGGGACAGGCTGGGCCTTCCTTCAGGGGAATCACCCAGGAAGTTAGGAAGAAGTCCCTTTTCCTCTGAGTAGCAGACATTTATGTGCTCTGTGCCACAGGCAGGACTGGATTTAGTGTTTCACCAGCTCTCAGTGGTACTGTTGTATCTGATAGAACTGGATTCACCCTAAAGTTTCTTGTCCTTAGACTTAATACCACCCCACTGTCTCACTTGGGCTCATGGCTGGTGTGGGTCTCTAGTTTTTTGGTGATCGTGTAAGGAGGGGCTAGAGAGCCTTAGGGCCAGGAAGCACCAAGCTGGAATGAGGATGCCCTCTAGTGGTCAGACTAGGCACTGCCAGAGGCTGACAAAGGGTGGCCAGGCCAGGTTGCTAGTCTCAAGAGAGCCATTTAAGCTTCCTCTTTTTAAACCTTAAAAAGTTATCCTTTACCTGAAGGAAGCTAAAGTTCACAGGGTAATTGGCATTAGGGGCAAGGCTGTGACACAAGACTCTCAATTTGACCCATCGTGGCCTCAGAAAGTGATTGGCATCTGGAGGCTGCTTCCTGTATCTTTTTAGATACCCAGCCAACAACTCTCAGAAGGCTTGTGTGTGTGTGTAAATTCTGTTTCAGAGACCTCAGACTGTTGACTAGAGTACTCTGTGCCAAGGTGCCGAACACAGGCCCTTGAGGGGTAAGAGTGGCTGGCCAGGGTGTCCTAGATGATAGCAAGGCTAGGAGACAGACTTGCCTGAGATCCTCTAGCTTGTCAACTCTTCTGTGAGGGATGTGGGGAGTGAGGACCGCCATAGAGCCAGTCCATAGGAGCCAGGAACTGCCATAGAAGCATGAGGGCTATTGAGCATTGTATAGAGGCTCATCACCCCAGCAGAAGTCAGAGACGGGAAAAGAACAATGCAGTGACATGGGCACTTTCTCTCTGAAAATTGGATTGCAGGAAAGGAGGCGAACTCTCTAAAGCCTGTCCCACATCTGCTGCTGTGAAAGACACATCAAGTCAAGGTTTATCCATTTTACACTTTAAAAAACTAATCTAACTCCTAAATCAATATCTAAGGGTTGATGGGGCAGAGCTCACCCCATTCCTGCCCCACTAGCACCAGTGTTTTAGGGTTTAGCCAGTGTTTTAGTCTTTGAAGATAGAAAGGCACAGAATTCAGCTGATAAAGCCGCTGGGGCTCAGCATATTGTCTTTCCTGGCTTGTGACTTCTGACTTATAGGTTACCACTGATCACCCCATCCTCTGATCCCCAAAATTAGAAACATCTTTAAGGTCATAAATCCAAATGTGTTCCCATGGACAGTGGGTCAGTAAAGCAAATTCTCTAGCCACAAAGAAAAGGGAGAGGCATTAAGTTCTTCAGCGCGGCCCTGAGGGAGAAGCAGGGGCCAGGCTAGCAGCACGGGCAAGACCAGAGAGTGGGTTCTGGTAATGTGCAAGTAGGACCTGGCAGAGGCCTCCTCCAGCCCCTGAGAGCCCAGCACAGGCTCCTGCGCTGCCCACACCATCCCATACAGGATCTTACTCTAAGACACCACTGTCCTCTCAGGGGCTGCAGCTGGCCTGTGGCGGGTAAGGTACAGTTGCAGCTGGCTCCTGAGACTCTGGATGCACTTGGATTTCAGAACCATGATTTCATCCAACTGGGTCACAAAATCTTCAAAATCCTGAGAAAGGAAACAAAAGGACAAACGGAGCTTTTTGCTCTTGCTGGCCCTCTGCCAGATACACTTTTCTAGTCCCTCCTCTTGCAGGAAAATTGCAGAACCCAGGCCACTCCTCTAGCTGGCTAATGGGTAGGATAGTTGCTATGGCACAGGGTCGGGGCCCACTTCTCTGCATTCAAGACACTCTAGGTCGAGGTATTTTTTGCGGCAGCAGGGTGTTTTGGTAGAAATACCTCTGGTCTGCAGGTTGGTCACTGTTAGTCACAGAAGGAGCCCCAAAAAGCCACTAGGAAGGCAGAGTGGCTAGGACTAGAGGATTTAAACATTTCAGCCTGGGAATGGGAAGCAGAGATGGCACCATCTCCCACCTGTACCTTTACCCACTCAAGCTGTTTCAGAGGAGTGGCAAGAGGAGGCACAAGGCCTCAATAATGGTTAGTATGTGACAACAGACCCTTACCCACACATAACCACAGCAAACAAAGGTTACCATCAAACTAGCTGCAGGCTAATTCCCAACAGCCCCCAAGTGTTCAGCCAAGGCTACTTACATTAGAAGCCAGCTGGCTCATCAGGGTCTCCTCCTTGGAGCCTAGCTCGGCCATTTCATCCAGTTGTTCCTGGTGTGCTTGGATGACTACCTGCCTTGGAATACCAGAGGGGACACTGTGATCCTCTTGGCCTCCTGTCCTCTCCCGGGCAGCTTTCTGGAACTGAGCCTCATTTCTAGGCTGGGAGTTGCCTCTGCCCAAAGTGGTCAAGGCTTTGACCAGAGCCAGCTCACCACCCACCTCCCCACTCACTTGTTCTTCCTCAGGACTGGTCGAGGGATTGGGGAGTGACAATGAGATATAGAAAAATAGACAAGTTTCTTAAGCTGTCCCCTGCTACTGAGGGACAGGGCTAGGTGCTGCTTCTCTTCCACAGGAGCTGCCCATTTCCCACAGCCTCCCTGCAGAAAGGCTATCAAAGTTGTGACCACTGCAGCTGGCATACTTGGTACTGGGTGGAGCCTACTGCCTAGACTGTTATCATTTCTACTTCCTGTGGAGGGTCCAGGGACCAAAGCAGAGGGTTTGAGTTAGAAGCTGGAGGACCTGCCTTTTGTCAGACTCTAATGATGGGTAGAGACCATGGAGCAGCAAGATCGTCCATGTGGAGAGGCAAACTCCTCACTTGTGCATCCCTGCATGGCCTTCTCTTGGTTTATGACAAAACATTAAACTGAGGTGGGAGTGGGGGTGTGAAAGGGGCTCAAGTCTTAGTCCAACTTACTGTGCTTGCTTCAGGGTGGGCTGATGGAGTGTCCCTGCAGTCTTGGGAGTGCGGCTGTGGACCAGGGGAGAGCCCGGCCCTGCTATACACCTTGAGACTGGCCTATGTTTGAGCCATGTGATGTCTTTGCAGCAGGCCAACTTCATGGGGTCTGCGGACAAACCAAGCTCCTGCCAACCAAAACTTGTAGGATGTTTTCTCCTCTGAGCCCAGGATTGGACACTACTTCCTGTTTGTGTGGTGAGTGTAGGTCCAGAATGAGGCACCCCAGTATGTATGATAGGGAAGGGCTTTTTTGGGAAACCCGAGGAGCCGCCAAGCTCTACCTCTTCAGCATCAGCATCATACCGCTCACCACCCACATGTTCCTGGGAGAAGAGGGCAGTCTCTCTGCTCTGGCAGGCCTCTCCCAGGTCAGCCTCTCTGTTGGGCAGCTTGTCAGGTGGGTGCTGACGGATGGGTGATGGAGACAGAGCTGGAAGATCACCCCCAGGCTTATTGTCAGGTGGAGATGAGGACAGCCACAGGTGCCCAGTTGCTGAAGACACTGGCAAGACTGCTTCTTGATTACCAGATGACACTGCGTGGCCCACAACTGGCCCCCCTGTGCTCTCTGCCACTGGACTATGCATAGCCCTATCCTGGGCCAGCTGCTCCAATGGAGGAGAACCCTCATCATCTGGGTTCTCCAGGAGGGACACAGTGAGGGGAGCCATCAGTCCAGAAGCATATTCAGAGCACATGCCTAATTGCCCTCTAGAGTCTTCTCCTTGGGAAGCATTACTGTTTTTCACTGTTCTAGTCACTTGAATTGGGCTATCTTCACTGACTTCTCTCAAATGTGTGGTGACTGTGTCTCTTTGGTCTGGGGATCCAGGAACTACACTGTGAGATAGTGAGAAAGTGAAACCATCTTCCTCTGAGGATGGCAAGCTGCTCTCAGTGTGCCCAGGAACCTTACTTCTGAAGGCATCCTGTCTGAGATCAAAGGCAGGGCCTCCACCTCTTTTCTGGCCATATATAAAATCTACCTGTGAGCAGTAAGGCTTCTCTGCCAGGCTGTCTCTGGGAGAATGCCCTGAGGAGGTGGAGTCCTCCTCTCTGTTCCAATCTAAGGGCACCTTACTTGGGCTGCTGCTATGATCAAGTGCTGCTCTTCTGTGGCTTATAGGGTCCTTGGAGTAAACCCAGCTTTCACTTAGACCTTTCTCATGAACATCAGTCTTGGGGCTAGAAAATAGACTCTCCCGCCTTTCTGCTGCCTGCTCCTCAGGACCTTGCTCCCCATTCTGATGAAGGAAGAATGAGTCTTCGCTATTCTCCAGGGTGTTCCTCTGCTTTGTGGTCCTTTGACTGGAGACATGTGAAAAAGAATCTTCACTGAAATCACTGTCATCAAGGTCCTCAACTTGGGCTCCATCATGGCTCTCAGAATAAGAGTGGAACAGAGGGGGAGTCTCATTCTGGAGCTGACCCTCTGGTGTCCTGTACTGGCATAAAAACCTTTCTAGTGGTTGGTAATTTAACTTTTGTTGGAGGAGAGGAGGCTGCTGGAACTGCTGGTGATAAAAACGTAAATGTTCCTCCCTGTCCTTCTGATGTGGAAGGATGTTTGTCCAAGTTTCAGAGGCAGGGCTGCCTCCCTTGCTGTCCTGACTATACTCTGTTATGTGGTGGGTGTTGCCAAAGGAGAGCTCAATTCGTGACACAAGCTGCTTCTGTACTGGCTGCACAGTCTGAACTTTCTTGTACTTGGTGGGCAGCTTACCATGCACTAGGCCTTCTTCTGGGCCTGGAGCTCTGCTTCCCCACCCAAGGGCAGTTTTGTTGCCAATTTGATTTTTCTCAGAGCACAAGGGTACTGACTCTTCTGCCCTTTTTCTGGCCAAATGTCCAAAACTCATGGTTCCTTTGACAGGGCTAGTCTGAATGACCCACTCTTGAGGAAGACTCCCTCTGGAGCTACCCCTTTTACCAGGGACTTTAGGTACAGAAGCAAAAGGGATGTTTGGTGGGTGGCTGGCCAGAGGATGGGTCTTCCCTCTTGTGGAGCCCAGTGCCACTGTGAGTGATTGCTGAAGCCCCAGCTTTACTTTCTTGGGAGAACACTTGTCCCCTGGCAGGGCCACAGGGGAGCTCTGAATTCGTTTTGGAGAGGAGCTTCCAGATGTCCGATTTCTACTGGTAGCTGAAGCACAACGCTTAATGCCTTTCTTTAGTTCTTTGACCCTGTAAATAACCATTTTTATGTTAAATGTGTATTTTGGCATGTTCTCCAATTCCTTTTCTATAGCTTTCTGGGAAAAAAAAAAAACCAAAGAAAAGTATTACAAGGATTGGGAGTTATTTTTTTTATCTAGAGAGATTAAGAGGAAAAGGGGACATTCTATTTCAGCATGAGATACCCCTCTGCACCTGAATAAAAAAGAGCAGTGTCTTTTCTGCGGATATAAGTATGCACCCAACATTCCATGATCAGAAGAGTTTTGGAAATCACCACAGTCCCATGCAAGGGACAGGTCAGAGAAACCAGTCTCAGAACTGTATTGTTTATGCAGGGCCCACACTGTGCTTCCTGAAGATGGGCCAACTCAGGAGTTCATATCTACCACTTACCTGCAATTCTATAATCAGAGCCCTCTTTTTCTGCAAACCACTCCCTTTCAGGCTTCTCTGGGAAAATGAGTTCCCTGAAACCTGCCGGGCCCTTCAGAAAGCAAAACCTCCAGAAATAAGCAGGCTTATGCTAATTCCATTAAGGAAAAATGACTTGTCTGTTTCCAGGATTTCTCAACCTTAACACTATTGACATTTTGCACCAGACAGTTCTTTATTGTAGGGGCTGTCTTATGTATGCACTATAGGATGTTTAGCAGCATACTTGGCCTCTACCCACCAGATGCCAGTAGCACTTCTCCTGTCATGACAATCAAAAATGTCTCACCCACTGTAACACACATGTGAGAGCCACTAACTCCAGATGAGCCTTTGGAAAGTTCCTGCTCTTCTCTGGGCCTCAGTTTATCCTCCTGTAAATGTCTTGGGTTGGTCCCTTCTGGACCTACATACAGTTTGGGCTGAGACCAGCAGGAAGAAAACTTCACTGAGCCTTCCACCCTACATTAATATCTGATTTTTCACTAGCCATTTAAAAGCCACTGATGGAGTCAACTCCTGAACAAGGGGGAGTGTGTCATCTTCCTCTTGTCACACTTGCAAAATGACAGGGTCTACCAGGTCACATTCTTCAAATGACCAATTGCTCTAAGAACAGCATTGTAGAGCTCAAGGTCAGATCCCTGAGTATGAGAGACATGGGAGCATATGCACACGTGCTGTGTGCACACACACACACACACACACACACACACACACACACAAACTACCATCTGGGAGCCAACTTACCGGTCAGCATAGCGCAAGGTATTCAGAGTGTGTTCAGTGGCCACGTGACTTGGTGAGATATTGGCGATCATGCAGGTTTTGGCATCACCAATGAAAGAGTCCTTCAGGACCTACCCAAAACAGAAAGCAGGTCAATGAATGAAATCGACTAACAAAAGGCATAGTCTCTACTTATTATGAGCAGGATGCTGGGCCATAGTTCTTTGTCCACAAAAAGGCAATTCACAAAGGAAGAAATAGAAATGACCAATAAACACAGAAAGAGCTCACCATCTCATCATTAAGCAAAAAAAAAAAAAGCAAACAAACTATTAAAAAACCTAATATATATCTATTTTTTACACATAAGACTAAAAAAGACTGATGACACCTTGGCCTGGTCAGGGTCCAGGGAAATAGGCACTCTTCTACACTGCCATGTATCACGTACCATGAACTGGTACAAGCTTTCCAGAGGGCAGTTTGGCAATATGTATCAAAATGTAAAAAAAGTTGGGTGCAGTGGTATGTGCATGTAGTCCCTGTAGTCCCAGCTACTAGAGAGGATGAAGCAGGAGGATTGCTTGAGCCCATGAGTTCAAGACCAGCCTCAGCCATGTAATGAGACCTTGTCTCAAAAAGGTAAACTATATGCACACTATTGGCTTGGCAATTATACTTCTAGGACTTTATTGCAAGCAGATAATTGCTCAATTGACCAAAAAAAAAAAAAAA